TTAACACCAGCCTCATCAGAAAAGTCTTTAAGTATTGGTGGTAGATAAAGGTTTTCCAGAATTCTGATTTCTGCCTGAAGCTTGAATTTATCAAATACTATGTTGTTTTCCTTCAAGTGACAGGCTCACTTTGTTCATTTTTCAGAAAACGTCTGTCAAATTTCATCTCACAGTTAGACTGTCACTCATTCTTTCAAGTAAAAGTGGCATACCAAGAAAAAAGTGGCTAGTTCAGCTCACAACCCAAATGATTACACAAGTCATTTTACTCAAGACGACTTAGTGAACTAATATTTTCTAAAAAAAATCAATAGATTCTAATATAACAGTATGAAAAGTCTATGGATGTGGTCTTAGATTCCACATTGCACCCAACCTTTAAGAACGTAATTGCTTTATGAATATTTTTTATTTCATCACAAAGAATATTAAAGAGGCATGTACTCAAGAGTTGGCATTTAATGAAATTAATAATTTTTACTGCTTCCTGAGACGTTTTTAAGTAATACCGGCTTTTTTTTTTTTTTTATAAACTGAGAGTACCTGGTGGTAAAGAATGCTACTAGTGAAGCATACAAACTACTGGTAAATTTGGTCTTACCTTCCTGATTTATGCTAAGGCGCCAGCACTTTTGTAACCAAACGCCTCTCAGGTTCTTGTCTTATTAGCCGATTGAAATAAGACAGACACCAGTTTTAAAGGAAACAGAAAGTGGCAAGTTTATTATCTGCACAGATAAGGAGCAACATGAGGTCGAGTGACCAGAACACCTCTAGCTCCGTAAGCTGTGGACTTGGGGATCTTTTCTGGGAAGACTAGTTCTGGGTCTTACACCTCAGTCCCCTTAGTCCGCCATTCTTGGAATTTCCCTCCCCTGTCCAAGTTTGGGAGTCTGGTTGCCGAATCGTCTTCGGCTGGATGTACTGGTGGCTGGACCTCTTGCTCCAGAATGCGCTCCGGGTACAATGGTGGGCTGGTAATTGTGTTCCCCTCTGCAGGAAGGAGGTTCTGGGGTCAGGTTCAGTGCAAGCCTGGGTGGCCTGTTGGAGCTGGTTCTCAAGGTGCAGCCTTCTGGCCTGAAAAATGTTCTAAGAAAATGTTGCCTAGAGCATATCAGCGGTTAGGAAGAAAAGGGAGTTAACAGACCTTGCACAACAACTCGATTTTATTTTGGGATGCCTCTCAGGAGCCTTTAGCTAGGGTTTCACTTTTACCACCATTGCTTTTGCACCAGTAGTGCAAAGTGAAGACAATGCAAAAGGTAAATAACATCTAAGTATTACTTTGAAAATAGTTTTGAACTTGCAGACTGCCAGAGTGCACAGACCACACTTTGAAATATCTACCTCTGCCAACCTATGCCAGTCTTATATCAGTTTATTTGTTTAACAAGCATTTATATTTGCTGTGTCAGTTTCAAGTGCATTATAAGTATTCTCACTTAATACTTATTAAGGCAGGAATGGTTATTACTCTTCATGAGATTTGTTGTTACGTGTCATCAACTTGGTTATGACTCGTAGCGGCGACCCTGTGCACAACAGAACGAAACACTGCCTGGTCTGCGCCATCCTCACAATCATTGTTATGCTTGAGCCCATTGTTGCAGCCACTGTGCTAATCCATCTCACTAAGGGTCTTCGTCTTTTTCACTGACCCTCTACTTTACCAAGTAAGATGTCCTTCTCCAGGGACTGATCCCTCCTGATAACCTATCCGAAGTGTGTGAGACGTAGTCTCGCCATTCCTTGTTTCTAAGGAGCATTATGGTTGTACTTCTTTCAAGACAGATGTGTTCATCTTTCACCAACACCACAGTTTCAAGGTGTCAATTTTTCTTCGGTCTTCTTTATTCATTGTCCAGCTTTTGCATGCATATGAGACGATTGAAAACAACATGGCTTAGATCAGGTGCATCTTAGTCTTCAGGGTGACGTCTTTGCTTTTTAACACTTTAAAGAGGTCTTTTGCAGCAGATTTGCCCAAATGTGCCTCGATTTCTTGACTGTTGCTTCCGTGGATGTTGATTGTGGATCCAAGTAAAAGCCTTGACAACTTCAGTCTTTTCTCCATTTATCATGAAGTTGCTTATTGGTCCAATTTTGAGGATTTTTGTTTTCTTTATGTTAAGGTGTAATCCATACTGAAGACTGTGGTCTTTGATCTACATCAATAAGTGCTTCAAGTCCTCTTCACTTTCAGCAAGCAAGGTTGTGTCTGTGTCATCTGTATAACCCAGGTTGTTAATGGGTCTTTCTCCAGTCCTGAGGCCCCGTTCTTCTTCATATAGTCCAGCTTCACGGATTATTTGCTCAGCATACAGACTGAATAGGTATGGTGAAAGGATACAACCCTGATGCCACATAGATCTACTGCTATTCATAAGGTTTTCACTGGCTAATTCTTTTCAGAAGTAGACTCCGGGTCTTTTTTCCTAGTCTGTCTTAGTCTGGAAGCTCAGCTGAAACCTGTCCGCCATGGTTGACCCTGCTGGTATTTGAATACTGGTGGCATAGCTTCCAGCAGCACAGCAACACGCAAGCCACTATAGTACGACAAACATTACCCCATCTTACGTGTTAGGAAACTGAAGTAGAGAAGTTAAATAATTTGCCCAGGGTCACACAGATAGTAAGTTGCAACAGTGTTTTTCAAATTCATGCGTTCTGACTCTAGACTGCATGCTCTCAACCACGATGCCAAGCTTCTTTTCTTGAATGTCCCTCTCGTCTCAGGACTTCTGAACATATCAGTCTCTCTACCTGAAATGCTCACCTCAGCACTTTTGTACATATCACCTGGAATGCTCACCCAAATCCCACCCCCACTGTCATTGATTGGGCTCTTCTGCCCTATATTAGTCATACAGCTCAGTGATTACTTCCTCAGGGAAGCCTTCGTCAGTCCCCCCAGATTCTTTTATTACAACATTTGCCTTTCTTTCTCAATACTTACCACAGTTGTGAGTTTATTTGTGAATGTTAAATTATCTCTCCTGTGAGCATAGGGTCTGCATCCATTTTTCCCTGGTGTCTAGCACAGATTCTACCACATGGTAGGTGTTCAATAGACATTTGTTGAATGAATGGATATGCAGATGAATAGATAGATAAATAAATAGGATTTATTTGGGTGTATGGAATGAGGAATAGATCTAACTTTAATTTCTTTCCAAATGTTTAATCAGTTGTCAGCATCATTTGTTGGGAAAAATTCTATTTTTTTTTTAAAAACAAATCTTTTTTTTTTAATATCACCTTTGTGTTATCCTTAATCCTTATATATTCTTGAATTTATTTCTGAACTTTTGCTTCTTTTTTATTTGATCTGTTTATTCCATTGTCAGAACCATGGTTTAAATTATTTTAACTTTTTATAAATAGTTTTAATTTGGATACAGAAATTCCAATATATTTATGTTGGATATATTTAAAGAGGCCTTCCTTTCATCCCTGCCCTCTCTTCTCTGTTCTGACACTTGCTCTTTAGCTAACCATTTCTTATTGGTTTTAGGTTTACCCTTCGATGGTTTCTGAAAATATAACCATAGATATATATAAAAGAAAACCAAACTCGTTGCCATCAGCTTGATTCCGACTCATATAGGACCTTTTGGTTACCAGCCAATGCACTGCCATATATGTATATACATATATACGTACATACATGGAGCCCTGGTGGCACAGTAGTTAAGAGCTACACGAGCTACGGCTGCTAGTCAAGAGGTCAGCATTTCGAATTCATCAGCCACTCGATGGAAACCCTCTGGGGCAGTTCTCCTCTGTCCTATAAGGTCGTTAAGTGTCGGAATCAACTTGATGGCAGTGGGTCTGGTTTATATATATACACACACACAGACACACATGTATATACACACACACATTATATATATGGACATATGTATGGAACTCTGGTGGTGCAGTGGTTAAGAGCTTGGCTGCAAACCAAAAGATCGGCAGTTTGAATCCACCAGCCACTCCTTGAAAACCCTATGGGGCAGTTTTATTCTGTCCTGTAGGGTCTCTATGAGTCAGAATCAATTCAGTGACAACAGGAGATATATATGTACATATGTAGGAGCACTGGTGGCACAGTGGTGAAGAGCTCAGCTGCTAACCAGAAGGTTGGCAGTTCGAATCCACCAGCCACTACTTTGAAATCCTGTGAGGCAGTTCTACTTTGTCCTATAGGATCACTATGATGCGGAATTAACTCGACAGCACCGGGTTTGTTTTTTGGTTATTTATTATGTATATATTTGTATCCCCATCCCCTGCTTTTTTCTACATATTCACTTGCACCTTGCTTTTTTCACTTAATAATCCTGGAGATCACTACATAGCAATATATAGAATTTTTTTCTCTCTTTTAAGTTGCATAGTACTTCATTGTATGTATATGCCATGGTTTATTCAGTCAGTTGTTTGTAGTAGGATATTTAAGATGGTCCCTGTCTTCTGATAACTCAGTCTTATAATGAATAAATAGTCTTTTGCGTATATAATTTCATATTTTTGCCAGTGTATCTTTGGGAGATTAAAGATGATTTTTGATCAGGAACATAGTATGAAAACATTGTTTTCAAACATTAAACTAGCAATAGAATGCATATTTGAAAGTGAATATAATTGGTCAAATGTAAATTTAGAAGTCATAACTAATCTAGACTAAGGTGATAACTTCTTCAGTATTTATTACAGCAGTAGACATTCTGTGAGAAGTTGTTGCTCCCCTATCCTGATCTAGTGTACTTATTTCCTGCTCATCTGCATCCTTCTCCTATATTTCTGATCATCTTTCCTCCACTTCTGACTCTTCTAGAGAGAGTCTCTTCATTTTCTCTGCATAGACTGTACATTAGTTTTGCTTCATTTGCTTCTTTTTGCATATGTACTCCTTGAAGGCATGCTTTTTACTTTCATGAACTCTTACTATTACAGAGCTACCATTTTGTTGAGCACAGAAAACAAAGGAAATTTGCATTTACGATTTCTTTCAGACTGGGAGGCTAGACCTGAGAGCAAGGAATCAACTTCAGTGCAAGACTTTTCCAAAGAAGAATCATGCCAGGTTGCAATAATAGACAGACTGACAAGGAATAGTGTTTATGACTCCAACTTGGAAACCACTTTTGATGGTGAAAATTGGTTAGAGAATCAGCAAGGAAATCAGGAGAGGCATTTGAGAGAAATGTTCACCCATATGAATCCACTGCCCAGGGAAAAAGCTCATGAGCATGATATATATTGGAAAAATTTTAGTCAGAAGCCTGTCCTTATCACTGAAGACAGAGTTCCCAAAGGATCCTATGCTTTTAATAAACTTGAAAAAAAATTGAAACAGAAATCAAACTTAATGAAAAGGCAGAGAAACTATAAAGAGAAGAAACCTCATAAATGTAATGACTGTGGTGAACTCTTCACTTATCATTCAGTGCTTATTCGACACCAGAGAGTTCATACTGGCGAGAAACCGTATACTTGCAATGAGTGTGGGAAGTCTTTTAGCCACAGAGCTAATTTAACGAAACATCAGAGAACTCATACCAGAATTCTCTTTGAGTGCAGGGAATGTAAGAAAACCTTCATAGAAAGCTCATCTCTTGCTATACATCAAAGAATTCACATTGGAGAGAGACCTTATGAATGCAATGAATGTGGGAAAGGCTTTAATCGAAGTACCCATCTAGTTCAGCATCAGTTGATTCATACTGGAGTGAAGCCTTATGAATGCAATGAATGTGATAAAGCTTTTATTCATTCATCAGCACTCATCAAACATCAGAGAACTCATACTGGAGAGAAACCCTATAAATGTCAAGAATGTGGGAAAGCCTTTAGCCATTGTTCATCCCTTACTAAACATCAGAGAGTTCATACCGGAGAAAAGCCATATGAATGTAGTGAGTGTGGAAAAACTTTTAGTCAGAGCACACATCTTGTTCAGCATCAGCGAATTCATACTGGAGAGAAACCTTATGAGTGTAATGAATGTGGGAAAACGTTTAGCCGGAGCTCAAATTTTGCTAAACATCAGAGAATTCATATTGGAAAGAAGCCCTACAAATGCAGTGAATGTGGGAAAGCCTTCATTCATTCTTCAGCTCTTATTCAACACCAGAGAACTCATACTGGAGAGAAACCCTATAGATGTAATGAATGTGGGAAAAGCTTTAAGTGCAGTTCATCACTTATCAGACATCAAAGAATTCACATTGAAGAACCCTAAGAAGATACTGAATTTGAAGAAATGTAAGTCAGTCTTATCACTGTGTTGAATACCTGAGTGTTTAGGTGAGGATCTGTAAAATAATGCTTGGGGGCCAATTCTGTATGCATCTAGTTTCACTTGCATAATGCATAGTTTTGAACCAGAGACAATGTTTCTTATATTCATTGATTTGATAATTATGTAAACTTTTAGCCAGAGATCTCAAATATTAATCCCATACCCCCAAATACCCATTCATTGATTTTCAAGGAATGTCTGGCAGTGGGTAGCAGTATTACCATTGTGATATCATGTTTCCTTCTCTCTCGGTTATAAGAAAGACCTGTTGTAGCTTCGAATTTTATATGGAAATTCTTATTTGATAGGTTAAGCTGAAGGTTTGTGTTTTTATTATCAGGAAGACTCAGAGTTGTTCCTCTTAGAATCCAAAGTAGGAATCTAGTTATATAGATAGTGTCATCTCTCCAGAGAGTGTCATTTCTTTTACATTAACCATAAAAATTTAAAGAGTTAGAAGCTGCTTAGGCTCTCCTCCTGCCAAGGCTGCTGTCAAATTTGATGACCATAACTGGAATGTATTTATTAAACCTGTTGCCATCGAGTCAGTGACCCTGTAGGGCAGAATAGAACTGCCCTGTAGCATTTCCAAGGAGCAGCTGGTGGATTCGCACTGCCAACCTTTTGGTTAGCAGCCAGACACTTAACCACTGCACTACCAGAGCCCTGGAATGCATTTATAGCAGGTTCTAAATTATGTTCACATGAATTATATTGATTACATATCTAGATAATTGTTATCTCTCTGCTGTATAGATCTTCCTTTGTTTTCTGTTTCTCTGAGGGTTACTCTGAAATAAGTAATGAGTCGTAAACTTAACTGTAGTTGATCAAGTCAGTCTTTTCTTATCCTTAGCATTGAATGAATCCTTGGTTTTCTGTGATGACAGTTACAGGGAGACATGATTTTGCTACATTACTCAGCTTTCTTTAAACTATGCATTGTGACTTTGAGAAAAAGCCCTAAGAATGTTGAGAGCCAGAAAAGTTGATGGGTTCAATATGTTATTATATTTAAGGTCCCATCAAGAAGAAGAACTGAAGCAACTGTGAGACTCCAGGTCATACCTTCCTGTCAGATATGGAGAACAGCTCATGGGACAGTGACTCACTTGAGGATAAGCAGCTTCCCTCTATGAAGAAGACTTTGCCATTTGTCTGTCCCTCGTGTTTACCCACATTTTTTGTTGTTCTCTCTATATGCCGATTGGGCTTCGATATGTCCAGAGCCCGAAAGAAGTCGTAGAAAAAGAGTGAAACCACAATTATTTATTGGACATAAGTTATATGAGTGACCAAAGACCAGTGGTGGGATTTGAGACACAAAAGCAAAACTTCAAATAAATATTTAATGAAACACTATACCAATGTCAGCTTTTTTTTATTGTTACCCTCATGTTTGTGTGAAAACGATAGAGAAAAAAGTAATCACAAGTTTCCTCTTCCTCCTCTCCTGAAGTCTAATCCTTCATGACTCTCCAGCAGCCAGTCCATACTCCTCCCCTCGCATTATCCCTGTTACCAGTTAAAATTCCCTTTCAGTAGACCTTAGTTCTACTATTAAGGAAAAGTAGTGGATAGACTTTAAGGAAGTGATGGTGGTGAAAAACAGGATCATTAATAATGAATACAGTATACATCCAGCAGTGATGGAAATCAAAGAAAATAAAATGTATGGAAAGAATTGGGAAGAGTTTGTTTTTGGAATGATAACAGAAACACTGAAGAGGTTTGAGGTGGGTGGGAAGGCTCAGGGTCTGAAAGGTCAGGTTAGGAGAATGGCTGATTCAGGAACAGATTACAGGAACTCTTTAATCATCTTAAAAACTCAGTAGTAATGGTCTAAAGCAGGATTGACAAACTATAGCCTGTACCCCCGGCCACGTGCAGCCCAGTACTTAGTTTTGTAAATAAAGTTGTATTGGAACTCAGCCACATTCATTCATTTACTTGTCTGTGGTTGCTTTTGTGCTGTAACAGCAGAGTTGAGTAGTTGGAGCAGAGATCATGTGTCACAAAAAGCCTAAAATATTTACTATTTGGCTCTTTACAGAAAATATTTGCCAACCCCAGGGCTAGAGCATCCATGTTAAGGAGTGGGGTAGGAGAGTTAAACCAGTCAGAGCAATCTGATATAATGGAGAAGCTGTAATGGCGGTGATCTTATCCCTCACTAGGGACTGAAGACATTATATGGCCAGAATCAGAGCAAGTCAGATAAACACCTCCAGTGGTTCTACTCAGTACCTCAGTAGTACTGTCCTCCAGTTGGTTTTTTTAAAGGCTGCAGAATAGTCTTTTTTTTTTTTTTTTTTTTTTTGGTGTATGTATTAGAGCGTGAAAAATAGATGTGAAATGCTATTCTTGTTTCTGTTTGGTGCCGTTCCTTACACAGCCTCCTTGAGACCTCATGGAGCCTACTCTTTTTCTTCTGAGCATGACTTAAACCAGGAGCTATTTAATGGTTCCTGAGGATCAAGTTTGCAGTCTAATTGCAGTTTAAATAGTGTTAAAGAACTTGCTTTAAGTTAGTTTTACTGGCCCCTTGCATTTCTGTATTTGTCCTTTTTATGCTTTGTGTTCAGTCTGAATGCGTGTTCATACTTTGATAAGAATCTTTGAAGTTTTAATGTTTTGCATTTCAAATGTTTTTAATTACCTATGAAGTAAATTTGTGCTTTTATCGACCCACCGTCAATAAAGCCATTTATATATTCATTGTCAGAAACTTTTGTAAATTTCTCAAGTTCTCCCAAGTTAAGCCCAGAAGTAACGAGAAACCAATCATAAAATATTTTCAATTTAGGATACCAGTTCCATTTTAATTGTTCATCTGGACCTCACAACTTCTGGAAAGATGAGATGGGGAATACCCTTAGCAGCCCATGTATCTGCAAGAAGGTAAGGGAGTGGAGGAAGATAGTCTCTAGTATATGATGCTAAGAGTCCTGAGTTCAACTATAGACATCACTCCCTTTGAAAGGATGATGGGGAAAAAAAGAAGGGAAGAACTTCATGTAAAAACACCTGTTAAGGCAAATTATGATTAAAAAAAAAAATTAGTGTAAATTTAGAATTACATCTGGTTTGGGGAAGGACAGTAAGATTATTCCGAAAGTATGTGAACAATACTATAAAAATACCAAACATTATTCACATTTCTTGATAATTGTTAACTAGTTCAATTATCAATTGAAAACCTCTCATAATTGTTATTTTTTAGATGAATTTTTCTTTTTTTTAATATCAGAACAAGACCCAAATTGGAAGCTACATATCCCTGATTTCTCTTCCTTACCTAACTCTTCATTTAGGGCCCCAACTGGGCAGTCTTGGGGTCTGGAGCCATGTGAGTTGTCTTTCACCATGGATTTTATCGGTAAGCAGGGGAAGGTATTCCCCTGTGGTAGTACAAATAATGTGGCGTCAGTAGGTTACCTTGTAGTTCCAATTAGTGCCCTCTAAACATTAGATGTTTACACTGAATTTTTGTTCTTTACATTTTTCACAATGTAACTTCTTAGTTTTTAACCTCTGTTCACCCACAATTCAAATAATCTGCTTTAGATAGATTTAACTATATATAAAATATGTATGTCTCACCCCCTTCCCCGCTCCTACCAGTTCACCCACAAAAGCAATAATAGCATGTCAAAAAAGTTTACACATCTGTTGGATCTAAGGGAAGAAGCCAGAGATTCAGGCATTGCTAGATCAAGGACTGTTTACCTCCATCTCTACTCTAGTTTCCCGTGTTGGCTCTGTTTTCATCAGTTTCTTTCAGTGGTTACAAAGACGTCTACCGGCAACTCCAAGTTAATATGGTTCTGAGTATTTACAATCCCAAGGAGAGTGCCTCTTTCCAAATAGCTCCCACAAAATCCCCAAGGCTACTTCTCAGCTTTATTTGTGTCAGTCTAATCACTGAACCAACCCATTTACTATGTCAGAAAAAGGACCCCTCAAAGGCTGAATCTGTGTAAGCCCCTGGAGTAGGGGAGGGTGAAGCATCCCACTCAAATAACTTCCACTGTGATTGGGGAAACGGATGCTGGGCAGGTAAAAACAAACTGATGTCCATTGCAATTGAGAAGTAAACCTCAGCATAAATCTATTTGGTCACCTTCCTCACACCCAGCAAAAAAGAACTGTTTTACAAAGATGAAATAGTTACAGAAGAAGGCTAATACCAAAGATAATACAACACCATAGGGCTTCTGTGGGGATTACCATGAGATTATATATGGGAAAGTGCTTTGTAAACTATAAAACAGTGCAGAGTTGTATTATTATTTTCTATTCTTCAGTGCCATGCTTTGGTATATACACAAAAAGCATATTCCTCTCATGAGAATGCCAAGTCTTAAAGCATGCTTTTACTGCTTTACCTGTTGTGGAAGGCAGGGAGGCTCTACTAGATAGTTATTTTGGGACCCATGGTATTAGAATCCACTATCTTAAATACTATTTTTACCATACCAAAACATGACTATATGGATAGTCAACTCAATTCCCAGTCTTATGACCAGTGCATCTCATGTTGTAGTGACTTAAACCTGCTGGGTTACCCAGGACTCTTTGTGAAAACCCAATTCAGTTTAGCTTAAACAAAAGGAACTTAACTGCCATGATTAGAGTTTAAGGGACAACTCTGAATTCAGATATGACTGAATTCGGGTGTTCCTAAGATGTCATCAGACTATTGCTATCCCAGCCCCTTTCCTCAGGATTGGTTTCGTTCTCAGGCAGGGGAATGGCAGAGATGGTCATTGGCAGCATTTGAATCGTGTAATCTTTACAGTTGTTTGCAGAGAAAAGAGTTATTTCATTGCCCAGAGTAACATTAAAAGTTTCAGGGCAGATTCTCATTGAATGGCTTGGATCACACATCCATCCTTGAACAAATTACTGTGGCCAAGGGAATTGGGTATTCTCACATGGGGCAAGGCGGGGTGGAATTTAGCCTTATCCAAATCGTGTAGAAGGGGTTCTCCATAAGGATCCTGTTACCAGAAGCGAAGAAGGAAAAGTGCTGAGCAGAAAAAAATTACCCCAGGATCTGTGATCTGTACCTACGCAGTCAAGGGACAGAGACTTTACTTATTGAGAACACAGAATGAGAGCCTTCTGGAAGGCAACTGAGAAGTAAACTTCAGCATAATTGTCATTTGGTCACCTTTACCTCCACCCCACAAAAAGAGCTGTTTTCCAAAGATGAGTTACTGACAGAAGAAGGCCAATATCTTAAGAAAATATTCACAACACCTATTTCACATCTCCACATGCCTGTCAGTTTGTTGTGCTGTGGTGGCTTGCATGTTGCTGTGGTGCTGGAAGCTCTGCTGCTGATATTCAAATATGAGCAGGGCCACCTACGGTGGACAGATTTCAGTGAAGCTTCCAGGCTAAGACAGACTAGGAAGAAAGACCTGAAGCTTTACCGAAAAAAATTACCAGTGAAAATCTTAAAAATAGCAGTGGAACATTGTCTGATATAGTACTGGAAGATGAGCCCCTCAGGTTGGAAGGCACTCAAAATGTGACCGGGGAAGAACTGCCTCGAAGTAGAGTCAACCTTAATGATGTGGATGGAGTCAAGCTTTCGGGACCTTCATTTGCTAATGTGGCACAGCTCAAAATGAGAAGAAACAACTACAAACATGCATTAATAGGAACGTAGCATGTATGAAGTATGAATCTTGGAAAATTGAAAGACGTCAGAAATGAAATGCATGAACATTGATATCCTAGGCATTAGTGAGCTGAAATGGACTGGTATTGGCCATTTTGAATTGGACAGTCATATAGTCTACTATGCTGGATATGACACTTGAGGAATGGCATTGCATTCTTTGTCAAAAAGAACATTTAAAGACCTATCCTGAAATACAGCGCTGTCAGTGATAGGATAATATCCATATGCCTACAAGGAAGACCAGTTTAATACAACTATTACTCAAATTTACGCACCAACCACTAAGGCCAAAGATGAAGAAATTCAAGATTTTTACCAACTTCTGCAGCCTGAAGTTGATCAAACATGTAATCAAGATGCATTGATGATTACTGGTGATAGGAATAGGAAGGTTGGAAACAAAAAGGTTAGGTAGTTGGAAAATATGACAGTGATAGAAATAATACCGGGGATCACAAGATAGAATTTTGCAACACCAACAACTTATTCATTGCAAATACCTTTATTCAACAACATAAATGGTGACTATATACCTGGACCTCGCCAGATGGAATACACAGGAATCAAATTGACTACATATGTGTAAAAAGACAATGGAAAAGCTCAGTATCATCTGTCAGAACAAGGTCAAGGTCTGACTAAGGAACAGACCATCAATTACCTATATACAAATTCAAGTTGAAGCTGAAGAAAATTAGAACAAGTCCACAAGAGCCAAAGTATAACCTTGAGTATATCCCACCTGAATTTAGAGACAATCTCAAGAATAGATTTGACGCATTGAACACTAATGACCGAAGACCAGCTGAGTTGTGGAATAATGTCGAGGATGTCATACATGGAAAAAAAGAGGTCATTAAAAAGACAGAAGACTTCCAGACAACATGGCGCTATAGGGAGAAGCACCACACCGTCCCTCCACAGCAAAGATCCGAAAAACTAAGCCAAACAGAGAAAACGGCAATACTGAAATCCTAAGCATCAAATGAAGAGATAAAGAACTTGGCCAAGCACCGAATGGAATAAGAAACTGACAGAGAACAGAGAGCAAGGAGAGATACATGCAGAGGTCCCCTATCAGCTAAAGCAGCACTGATCCGCCATCTTGGACTCCTGTCACAGACCAGCGAACGGGGTACAAGAAAGCAGCTTCAAGAAGCTTCCAGCAGGACACAGAACAACCAGTAACTAGCGATATATGCTTTCCCACCCCCCGCCATTCTTCATCCCCAAAACCGCCTCCTCTGCTTTCTGCAGCCACAGTCTTTTGGCTGGGAAGCATCGGCTTCACCCCAGCGCTGCTTGGATTCCACCCGCCCACACTGGCTGGCTCCCTAAGTGCCATTTGTTGGCTGCTGGTGCTGCTTTTTTCCACTCTTTAGATTTCTACCCTACCTCTCACCACCTCCCCCTCTTTCCTGTCAAATACCTGGCTCCGTACACCATCTTTGCTACATCCTGAAAGGCTGTGAAATGCCACTCGAATGTGAGACTGCTTCCCAGCCCGTGCTGCCACGCTGGTGGGATCCTGGGGCTTTTTTGTTTTGAATTGTTTGGTTTTTTTTCTCGAATTGGGAGCCCATTCTAGCCGGGCAGTACTGCACAGCTTGGAACCTACCCCCTCAGTTTGCACAGACATGCAGAGGGATCCCTGAAGGGCTTTCTTTTTTCTTGTTTTTTGGGGGTTTTTTCCTGATTTTTTTTGTGGGGGTTTCTTGTTCTTATTTTTAAAAAATTTTTCATTTTCTTTTCCTTCTTTATCCCTTTTTGTCTTTCTTCATTACTCAGTTTCTCATCTTTCTATACTTCTTTTCCTGTCCCGAATACCTAGCACTGACACCTCGA